GCGGCCACGCAGCCAGCTGGCCCGGCTCCCCAGGGTGGACAGGGTTCCTCTGGCCCTTAGGTCTGTGTCCCCAAACAAGTGGCATTTTTTTCTTGTGTCCCCACCATGTTGGAGGCTAACAACAAGGTCTCCCCAGCTTCCTGTCCCTGCTGACACCCCAGCACGGGCTCCCCACAGCCTGGGGTGATACCTGCGGGGGTCCCACAAAATTACTGGCACCAACCAGGGCTCCCTAAATGTTACACCGAGAGCCCCAGGTCCCCCAACGCAGGAAGCAAATTACCCCCAAACCCCAGAAGGCTGCTCGGCCGCCTGCACAGGATTTAGGAGGCTCCCAGAGCCCCCAGCCCTTTTCTGAGTCCTGACGGGTCCCGGCTCCATGGCCTCTGTCCCTGCGGCCCCCTGAGCATTTTCCCGTGGGCTGTGGAGATAGGGGCCCGCATTTCCCCCCCGCTTCCCGGCCCCGCTCGGTTCCTGCCCATGAGACCCTTCACCCAGGTCCAAAGCACCCCGAGCAGTCACCCCTGCCTGTGACCCCCCGCTATGCAGGTTCCCCAGAATCTCACGGGGTCCCCAGGCGCCTGGGCCACACACCCAGCGCAATACAAGGCTGTGCCTGGGACACCCGGTCCTGTGAGTGCCGGCCACCAACAGCCTAGACATTTTCTCGCGTGGTAACGTTTTTCGTCTTTTAAAATCCCCCGGCCCCTCGCTCACGGACAGGAACCCGGGTTTTCTAAAATGCAGACGCTGATCGGAAATTCTGGCCCTCGCAGCGTCTCCTGGCCCCACGGGTCCGGCTTTGCTGCGTTCTCTCAAATGTTAGGCATTGCCCTCCAGACCCCCCCTCACCCAGGGTTACACGCGGGTCACAAAGGCACTGGTTTCTTGGGCTCCAACGCATCCAGGACCCCATGGGGGGCACCCCGAATTTAATCAACATTTCCTGCCCCTCCCCACCCAGCTCACTCCCAGGGGTTGTGGACACCGGTTCTCCAGGTCCCAGGGTTTAGGAACTCTTCACCCTTTTCCCCCCAAAGTTAGATGCCGGCCTCCAGTTCTCCCGAGGACCCGAGCCACTTCCCTGGAGCCCCGATTCCAAAATGCCTTTGGGGGGCTCTGAGCTGAGGCACTACCCCCAGCCCTCCAAAGCAAATTGAGATTTTTTTTTTTCCTCCACAAAACAACTGAGCTTTTTCTGAACATTGATTTATGGGTCCCCTGACTTCATGACCCTTTCCCTGAGCCCCCTCCCCTACGTTTAGGCAATTTTTTTTCCACGGGCCCCCCCAAATGAAAGTGCCCGGGGACTGAAGAACACCGGCAGGCCCCAGAAATCGCAGGCAGCGGGGGCCTGTACCTGGAGCTTAGCTGCCAGTCGCCACTCGGCAGTTTCCAGTGACCCCCATATTCGGGCCATGCCTCACCAGGGATCCCCGAACACAGTGCGCAGGGAATAAAGGATATTTTCTCTTGTTCGCCCAAAAGAGACCTCCAGCAAATGAAACGATTTAAAAACAAAACAGACACGCTCGATTTTCTGCACTCCCCCAAAGCACTGCTCACACCCCGGGTTCCCCCAACTTTAGACCGCGGCCCTGGAGTCCCTGCAGGGCACTGAGAACCCGCCCGGAGCCACCACCCGTGGAAGCGGCTTCCCGAG